ATCCCATCCCCCAGAAAAAGTAACAGAGTTATTATTTTTATTTATATATTTCAAAAGTACGGTACTGCCTGAAAAATCACAAAACTAGCTTCTTACACCTTATACGGTCCTTTAAAAGTATTATCAATTAAGCCATTTGGTAACCTCCCCTTGAAGTGTTATCCCAATGAATACAGGTGGGAGTGATAAAAAAAGCCACAAAGACATTCACACTTATCATACTTGATCATATTGTCTGTATTACAAGGGCTGTAAAACTTAACTGCTGAATAATGTTTTAGTTGGCAAATTTTAAATAGGACTCAAAGATTACCAGCCTATCTGTGTCAGAAATACTGGGATGACAATGATGACACCCTTGAATAAACAGTGTGCAACTCAAGTGGAAGCTATGGCATGGTTGGGTGCTTTGAATGTTGCTACAGAAAATTAGGATTAGTTTACATTGGGCATTTAGACCACTTAGTAGTTACAATTTAATGTGCTGGATAGCCCTGGAGTTTGAAAATACAGTAGAGTTCTGATTACTTAACCTCAACCTGCTGCAGCAAGGTTGGATGGGCGGAAAGGTCGTATAGCAAGAAAATACTGAACAATTAAGTAAATATGTTAAAAATCATTACAATGATAAAGATTCTCTGTTGAAGCATCTAATAAGAGGATTTAAGTTTGTATACGACTAACTTTTTCTGTATTTGAAGCCATCATCACAAATAGTTTTAAAATAAGCTATCAAGGAAAACACCACCACTGTAACTGTAAAATATAAAATTAAGCACATAGAAGTAAGATACAGAGGAAACACACCTATGGGACAACCGTGCACTTCCAGCTCTGGTATTTTGTGCCAAAAATATACTTGTAACAAGCAAGGAGAAGAGCTTGAACAGCGAGCACTGTGTGGAAATTCCAATCTCACAGGATACAGGGTCTTCCTCCACCATGAGCGTTGTAGTACATTAGGACGAGGGGAGCGGTGTTGGAGTTGGACTTTGCCCTAGACACCAGCACTAGTGCTAGACAACACTTAGGTGTACCATGGAGTGTATCCTCTGTACCTTACTTCCCTGTGGTTCAAGCAATACTTGTCCACTTAGCAACTAAAACATGAGGGGCAGCTGAGAGCTATACAGGTATGAGAAGTTGACAAACTGTGTGGCATGCAGCACACTAAAACAATTAGAAAGTACAGTCAAGTCCAGTTCCCTAAAACCTGTTGCATGTTCTCTGAGTGTAGACAGGGGTGGCAAAGGTATCTCAATCTATAACCACTACATTCATACTACACCCTACACGAAAATAGCACACAATTTCAGAGTATTTGATCATCCACAGGCAGATCGGATAGCCAAAGATTGACCAATTGACACTGTACTGAATTGGATTTGGGAATTGGGGGTTTTAGCAGAGCCGCTTTTTCATCAGTTTCAGTGATTGTGTCGTCCACTGCAGTTTGCTCAGGAATGTATAAAGAGAAAGTGCTTCAGAACACTGATCAAAGAACATTGACCAGTTGATTTCTTTCATTTGATTGTTTTTTCTTTCAATACAGTCCACTTTTAATAAACTCCTAATGCGAAATATTAGTGCTGCCATCACACACAACAAGCAGATATAGAACCATAAATAACACTGAAAGGGTTTACTATCAAACTAAAAAGTGTTGCCAAATAGCACTGAAAGAGTCAATAACTAAAAAGGTTAACCATATGGTTTAACAAATGAATGTATGATGTTTCAGTCTCTCATGGTTTCTGCCAAGGTTGGTAGAAGTGGGTGCCGGAGTCGTCAGCCCTCAACAACTTGTTGTGATCGACACTGACCCGGGGATTGACGACACAGCGGCAATACTAGCGACTCTTGGTGAATCAGCTGCTAAGGTTTTGGCCATAACCTGTGTGCGTGGGAACACTGATGTACCAAATGTTGTCATAAATACTTTGAAAATACTCAAAGTGGCTCAGAAACTACAGGTATGTGTTTATGGCTTAAAGGAGTATCGAGTATTCAAAATGTTTTAGACTATGTTACTACATAATATGATGAAATAGTAGATAGAGATTTGGATGCAGAAGGAAAAAAGAAGAAGAAAAATATCAGGGGCCGCTTTAGTAAATGGGCCCCATTGGACCGGGGGCCCAAGGGCGCAGGCGGTTTTGGATATGCTGTGGGCGTGAGGTGGATACAAATTCTCTGGCAAGGAAGGGGTGGAGGGGACACAAATATTTCTCAGGCCTATAGCATCTTACATACAAACCGTGGGCCAGCCAAATCTTATGTATATCACACATGCCAATGGTTGTACAGTATGTTCCTTACTAAATTGCTCTCATAGAACAGAAAAAGTTATTAATTCTTGAGTTTTTACGTACAAAGGAATTATTAACCTTCCATCGGGCGCATTGATTTTCAAACACCAGAAGGCGATCGGAAGTTACCTCTGGGGATACAAAAACCATACAATGATATGGGTAAACACCATTTTAATATCAATAAAACTGCAAGAAAAACATGTTTTATGAGTTATTACACTATTACTTAAGTTGTATATCAAATGGAAAATATTAAAATAAACAATAAAAATACGTAAGTTCTGTGGATAAAAAAGACTTCGCCTACTTTTTGTACATATACAGTCCTATTGTATAAAATTATAAAAAATTGTAATAGTTTATGACATAAAAACACTTATGTCTTATGAAAAAAAAATATTTGTTACAAGGAAAACTCAATTACTCAATTTGTCAAAGCTCTTAGACAAAATGGTTATTTGTTCTTCTTCATCCATTTTATAAAATTGCAAAATAAGGTCAAACACAAGGGCGCACACGGAATTAGGCTCCGGGAAAACTGTTACATCCCAGGGCGCTCACGGAAGCTACCTCCAATAGTGACGCGAACCACTCCCTAAGGTCAAGTGGCAACTGGGAAAGGGATAGGTGTAGCCGAACCGAAACTGATTCCGCAAAAGAGGTGGGTGAGGTACGTCAGGCGATAGCCCCGCCAAACTTAAACTATGGTTTTTATAACAAAAATACAGTGACCCGGAGGTAACTTCCGTGACGCGCCCGATGGAAGGTTAATATTCGCCCCTAGAATGTAGTGTTTTTATATACACAACATGTACAGTATACATGTTTCTGAAATTCAAATGTTTGTTACTTAATTAAAAAATGCACATTATTGTGTAAACCTTAACCAATCAAGCAAGAACATTATACTTTTGAACAGTCCGTTAGACTTGTATTGTACATAAACTGAAATGTGAAGGTTTGGTCTTACCATCTCATCTTAGGCCTTTCTGCTGGTCTTCTTTGCCTGGGATTATTTAACAATATCGTTTTTATTAAGGTGCCGTGCCGTCTTCTTTTCTTAGAACATATCCAGCCAACCCCTATCATATTAGATTAGTAATGGTATGTTCATATTAGTTCTTGGTTATTGGGGGGGGGATACCCTCTTCCTTCTTTTTACCTCAGCCAAGAAATTACAACCTCATTATCATAATCATAATGCTGACCCCACATAAATTTCAATAATTCAATCGTTTGGAAATAATATCACACATAACACTTCATGAAGCTAAAAGAAAGTCATCAGAAAGTAACAAAATTATAAATTCTGTTCTGTTTTCTCTTTTCATCAGCCTTTTGAAACAAAAGGTTAACTTAACCATTTAATGTAACAAAAAAGCTTGGACATGACAGAAGAGTTCATATTTTTGCCACATCACAAACATGCGTACAGTCATCTTTAAACGCTCCAATCCACTTAAGCACTGAACCATACCATTCATTCACTACAGTAACGATTTTGGGTTTGTCATAAAGTTCACTTACTTCCTTGCAAATTTCAGCAGATTTTGCAGAAATTGAATGAAAAAGCAAACTCACAGTTGTTGGGATTCTCATTCGTAGGTACCACTTTAGTGAAGCAAAAATAAAAGCGATAGATACTTGGCTAAACGGCATATAAGACTTTGTTGATAGATGCATAGATTAATGTGTAGACCACTCCGTCTACTCTTTAATCTATGATGCAGGTAAAAAGGAAGCTAAAGCGGAATTCCAACTGCAGCAGAGTAGTGAATTAAAAAACAGTTCTTACTTTAGACACACGTCTCGTATGTTATGAATAAGTATAAAAAGTAGCAAAGCATTTTTAAGCCATCCCCATTAAAATTAATTTTTAGGTGTCTCAAGGCAGTTCCCAACCAATGGGAAAGTTTGCACTTACAGTAAATTTAAATTTCCCCTCATCTGTTAGGAATCAACAAATATCTTGACTGAACACATAGCAAAGTTATTTCTGGGACATTAATGGTTTTGTACCATTCTGACCAAAAGAAATTTGAATGGTCAATGGTCCAAGTACGTTTTTAAACAGACACCAGTCATCGAGGGGTTTTAATGAAGTGTGACCTTTGCCTTACTTATGGGATTACTTCTTTGTGTTTGACAAGATTTAAGATGGTGATTCGTAATTATAAAGATTACGTTATCTGTCAGTGGGGGCCATAGTTGAGATAAGTCTCAAAACTATTGAATGAAAAATATCAAGGCCATTGAACAATTTTTACTACCATTCATTGAAATTGTTTACTTATTTACAACCTTTGAAAGAGAATTAATGCTTTGGCAAACATTAATTTAAAAGGTATAGGTATTAAGCCTTTTTTGCAGAAAAAAACATACTCATACTGAGCTTTGTCTCTAGACTCACTTCAATTACAATGATTACATCTAGTTAGTAATGATCAATCTGGGTAATTATTCAGTAAAACATAATTTAACAACATGAACCATTTAAAAAAACAATATAGATTTGATATTTTGATACAACCTGTAGAAATGTTTGAGTATGAAATATGAGTGTAATCAGATGTGTTTTATAGCTTTGTCACTATCCTTACTTATTTTCTCATAATTGCCAATTCTCCTACATACAAAGTGATAATTTTTCAGAGTGTACAGCAATCCTTGTTGCAATGACACTTTATTATAAAAAGTTGACTTAGTGAGCAAAATCATTTATTCATACAGTAGGCCTACCTGTTGACTATTTTGTGATGAGAATCAGAATATTGCTTCTTGACAACACTCTAAATTAGGAAAATTGTAAACCACTAATTTTTACAGTTAAAAGTAGCATGGTCCCTGAAACATTTTCCTTACTACTTTTGAGGTTATATATTTATTTTCATCAGAAAAATCTTAAAACACCTAAAAACCTGTAATCCTGTATAGCTATCATAATAAAAATCAAAGGATGATTGTGAAGGTAACCAAATCAAACCCTGTTGGTGGTTTTTCTGATGATGGCAGTGGAAATCGAGGTATGTGGGCTGTGCAATGTGACGGTAGCAATTGGATTATTGCCGACTCAATTTAGCTGTACTTGAATGGATATTGTTGACCTCTGGTAGATCTATAATTGTCTTAACTGTTATGGTATTGGCAATTTGCAGTGTAACATCAAAACTCTGACTGTAGCAATGTGTGGTACTATATAATGACAGTTTTATCTATATAATAAAAGTAACCCTGTTTTCATTTTTATTTGTTTTAGATCGATCACACAACCAATTATTAGCTAAGGATAGTTCCCTTTATATTAACTGACATTATTGTAATTTATCCCAATTAGTGAGGGGTGTCCTCCAAGTGAAATCACCATTCACTAACAAACAATCTAGGTCTAGTATCAGCATTCTATCAGAGCAACTAAATTTGATATTAGACATTTGGACATTTTTATCCGAACATGTGCATGACAAAAGAAAATATATACTTCCTTATAGTCTTAAACCTTGCATTTGCCCATCCACATGGGCCACAGAGGCATGTACAAGAATGTATCCAGCAAAGGAAGTGGTGAGCCGGTACAGTACAAGGGTGAACCGTACTTATAAAATGTAGTGTTAGATACCAGGATCCAAAGCCACAACATCACTGTCTTCTGAGCCATTGATCCACTATTATTATACCCTACTAGTATAAATAACACGATGACCAATGAATATGTATGAACAGGTTGGTGTCTAAAGTCGTTCAAATAGATGTTGTTTTTCACCTTAGGTTTTGCCATGATCACTATGGTATGAGTCGCAGGGGGCCAGGGTTGAAGGGGTCCTAACTGTTTTGGGACTTTTTTTAGTAAAAGCTTTTGGCTTTTGCCTTAAAAGTCGTCTATACATTGTTTAGCTGTTAATTTTTCTAAAAGCTGTGGGCATATTCATGTTGCATTTGGTAGTCTGGAGTTTTTCTCCCTGGTTTTTCCCTCCCAATTATCCCTCCAAACCTGTGCCCCTATTTCCTAAGAGCAAATTTGTTGTGAGGCAAACAAATGTCAATCCATTACTCCAAATGTATGGAAGGGAAGTATTTAAAACTAGAGAATCTTTGACGAGTTGGGACCAGTAGTGTAGTTATAAATTTTCCAGTGTGGGAACACTCCCCGATTTTGTGAAAAAATACAGGTCTCTTAGCAATATAGGTTTTTCGGGAAAAGTAGGGTTGGAATGCCGTTCCCACATATTCCCGCCCCACTACACTACTGGTAGGGACAATCAAGACTAGAAAATCATTAATAAGCTGTTTGCCATTTTTTACACTGCTTGGTGCTCAAGTATAATTATTTTACAGATACAGTTTTTAGAAAACGTGTAGCGTATCATAGCAATAGAAAGTTGGCATTATTTTTATCTACATAATTTTGTCCATTAGATAAGGGTGTTCACTGGCTTTAACTATGGTCTAGTAGACTCCCCGCCAAGTAATGACTACTTTGGTTCAGATGGTTTAGGAGATCTTCCTTACATCAACCCTCCGTCGCCATCCCTAGCTCAAGACGAGCCAGCAGCATCATTCCTAGCCAGAACTGTCAAGGAATACCCAGGTAGCTTGGTTAGTTACAGAGCTCATTATTTCTGGTGAAGGTAAAAATTTATTGAAAAATCATCAAATACTAACCATGAAAGGTCTGATTAATCTGCTGATGTGAACAGTTTTGTTTGTGCATGAATAAAACTAAAAACTTAAAAAACTTAATAAAACTTAAAATTTCTAGCTTAGCATTTAAGTTTTCCATAAAGTTTTCCACTTGATGTAGATCTACTTTTATTCTGTTTCCAAAATAAAAAATTGTTGTATGCAAAAACTCTACAACAGAAAAATAATTAAGTGAAGGAAGTCCAAGATATATAGTGAAAATCTTGGACATATCTTCACAGGTGGTGGCTAAGTATTATAACTTTAGAATTGAAATGCTTACTAAGCATGGCTTTTAGATAAGATAAATATGAATCTAATTATATACGGCATAGTAATACTAATAATTATATATTAAAAAATCAACAGTCCGATTTTCAGGTTGTCTGAAACAAGAATGAACAATTCATTCAAGTAAAAATCTTAGACAGACTGCCTGCGCACAGGAAATCGGCGCGCAGGTGCACTATGGCCTCTAACGTTTACTAGAATAGGACAGTAAGCTAGCCGAGTCTGACTCAATCGGCGCCAACAGTCTGACTCAAAAACCAGAGTGCATTGTGGATGTACCCTTACAGACCCTGCCTGCTGTATTAACTTCAGGAGATTTATTGAGATTAATATGATTTCTAGGTAAATTTTGCAGCATAAAACAAGTGGCAAATCAACAACCACCTTCATTGGATCATCATAAATCTAAACAATGAGTTTGCAAATCTCTGGTTTTATCTTGTGCATTTTACACTCTGCCTCTTTTCAACTGTACATTTAATTTTCCTTAAACAAATCTGAATCCTTTTTCACCCAACAAATCCAACACTGTTGCTTTTTAGGCAATAAAGGTCTTAATTTAATTTACACAGAATTTAGAAGCAACTAAACTTAACCGGATTTTTTACACTCAGTTCGTAAACTAGCCCAGTGTACTCTTCACACTCACTTGAAAAATCTCTGGAAAAAGTAAACTCCGCTGGCAACTTAACACACCAATGGCTTTTGAGCAAACTAAATCATAAAACTACGTAAGTGTAGGTCTACTTACAGTTTCTTGTGCCAAAGTGACAAGCAGTGGAGGTTCTTAAGGGGGAGGGAGCTACAGGAGCTTAATCCCCTTTCATTGAACCAAGGGAAAATAAATTTTAACCTATCTTTCGTCCTATAATGTAACTGAAGTCTTTGGACACAGCTCTACGATAAAATAGTTTTAGAAAGTCACCATACCAGCCTTCAAAGCACCAAACTTTCCAAAAGGGGAACCCCAAACCCCCCACACACGCCTCAGATACCCTTGTAACCCCTCTTGACATGGTCCTAGAACCAGGAATTAGCAGGATTAGTCTTGATGATGTCAGAGGAATCGGAAAGCAAAGAGTTCTATGCTGTACTTGCCAACTAACCTGCATTCTTGGTGGCTAGTAGCTTGTAACCTCGCTCTGTGTAATCAAGCTTTTACTGTTCTAAATACATTTTAAAACTAGTTAATTTGTCGCAGGTCTTGTAACAGTGATAGCTACTGGTCCCCTGACCAACTTAGCTTTGGCTCTTCACTTCAACCCACAGTTTCTACAGCAAGCCAGAAGGATTGTGGTGCTGGGAGGAAGTATCAGAGGTATCTGTATTATTTTCCTGTAAAGATAAGCAGGGGATCTAACGAATCCTAAATTTGTCATTGGGCTATGAATTAATGTGGCTATCTAACAAAAAGGTCGACTTAGATAGTAACAAGACCATTCCCTTACTTACCCTTTTAAAACCTTAGCTCACTATGCAGCTTCTGAATGTTTCTTAGAAGGTAAACGGTAGAAGCCTGAAGCCAGTCTGTCATTTTTTGCTTGAAGCAGATTGGGTTAGCTTGCTGCTTTAGGTGTTCTGGATGGAGGTTGAAATATGCAGCTCCTTTACGGTTTTCTTACTGTGAGTGTCCCTTTGTGGATTGGAAGGGTAAGATCTGATGCATATATGGTGTTTTGTTGTAATAGATTCACAAGTCCAGTAGTCAAGTACAAGCTATTGTATGCAAAGTATTGGTGGATAGTTTGATCTTTCCTTAAGAATGGAAGTTCTAGTAAGCAACTGCTGTAGTCACTTAAGATATTTGTATAGACTCTGTGTTTTGTAAGAAGGTTATTGTGCCAGATATTGCTAATAAGTTTGACTTTTTCACCCAGAACCCAGAGGTCACAACTGCAGTAGTCAACTAAAATACAAGTTTGATAGCTGTAGTAGTGTTTCTTGATCTTTCCTTTCCCATACCGACGAGCCAAATACAATATCAATATAAATTAAGATCAATTATTTAAAATGGTACCGCCACTTTTTGCATATTTTAACCCAAATGTCAGTGAAGGATGAGTGTAGGATGAGTGGTGCAATATTGTAGTATTTTTAGTGAAAAGCTAAGGGAACAGTCCAGGAGTGTTTTGATCTATAAGATTCTATAAACCTCTGGAATATAATCCTAGTATTTAAAAGGCTCAAATAATTCCAATAATTTATTTGCAGCACAGGCTACAAGTAAAGGGGTGTTCAGATAACCAGGCTAATAACACTGATCTCACCAGTTACCAGCTTTAAGATGCTGTGGAACTGCCAATAGGGATAAAACTTTTTTGGCAGAATGATCAAAATGTGTCTTAATTGGTACCTGGGACCCTAGGAGTTGATGTCAGTGAAGAAGCGGATACGCTTACATAGAAGGAGGTGGTTATCTTTTTGGTGGGGCTATAATCAGCATATAGAACAGACCCAAAGATGTGTTCTTGGAAAAGGAACTCAAAGAGGAAGAATTCAAAAGAAAGTTAACTCAGCCAGGGTGTTGGCAATCCAATGAATTACTAGGAATTTACAATCAAAAGAGGAGTGACACTTTCAGTAAACTGAGTAAGAGAAACCTTAGAGTAGTAATACGACACTAAGTAATAGCACACATAAAACATTTTAAGATAATGCAAAATGTGACAGAGGATGACTGCAGATCATTTCAGCAGCAGAGCATGGATACATCTCCTGACTGATTGTGATGTAGATCAAACGAACCAAGTATTCTGGGTTTCATCAAAAAGAACTTGGAGATTTACCTAATTTGGAACCAACCCTACTACATAATGTAAAAATGATTTATTAGTATGTAGATTAATATATCATAAATTATATTAACCGGCAGTATGTAATGTGTGCAGGTTTAGGAAATGTCAGTCCTGGGGTGGAGTTCAATTTCTACATGGATCCTGATGCAGCAAATCTAGTTCTCAGAAGAGCTTCTGAAAGTAAAACACTTGTCACCCTTGTGCCAATGGAAACTTGTTTCGAAAACGACTTAGGGAAGGTGAGTGTTGTTGTCACGTTTTTAATTCCATAAAACCTTTCTTACTATTTTCATTAACATTGTGTAAAAAATTGTAAATATAGGAGGGTTGTCTATAAAATAACAACCCCATCGAGCTTCCCTCTCACCCAAGCAAGCTAATTAAAATATGAGACTAACGTCGTATTCCATACAGCATCCGCTACTATTGTAGCTCGTTCCCACCCCTATAGGACGATTGGTCTTGTCAGTATTCAAATACGTTGTGGAAGAAAGTTAACACTTCCGCCAAGTGTGAAACGCATTCTGTGATTAGGTTTCTATAGTAAGGATATCAATCACCTGATGATTACTGCCAGTTGAAAATTTATATGCAGAATGATGTTTCGTTGTGGAAATTTTGCATCTCACAATTTCGGGGCTGACCATAGTACTTGATAGTCTTATGGAGATGCCAACTATCAGATCAGCAGTCTCTTTATTCAGTCACACCATGTTCTGCATGCAAAGTTACTCTACTTTGGTCTTCTTTAAACAATACTGATGAACAACACCTACAATATGAAAAACACTTAGCAAACGTCATGTCCACCTCTGTATTCCCTCCGCTCGTTGCGCACATTTTCTACTTCCAAACTGTTTACTTCATTTATGTCCCTCAACTGGCGATCAACTTCAATAGTAGTTGAAGGCTCTGAAATAACAGAAATCTCATCACTGAAGACAATTTATACTTGGCAGGAACATCAGTTTTCATTTTTGAATACTATGATGAGACTAATCGTCCCTACCATCGAAAAGAAGGAGATGAAGTAAGAAATGCGACATTGGTCACAGATTTTCGCTAGCACACTTAGCTGCGACAAGAGCTAAATGGAGAACTTAATCTGCAGACTACCCCCATACTTAGGGTTATTGTCGAATCAATTAGCGTTACTGGTATAGCAAAACTTATTGTATGCATTACTTTTAATCATAGAGAAAAATTTGAGATTATTTCTTATGAAAACATAATAAGACCTCAGAAAAGAGACTTAACTCTTTATTTTTATGTGCATGCAGTGTTGATTCAAAATATCATGTTTTGGGAATAGTCTACTCTACTAAGTATTATTGTAATGGAACAGATAAGAGGAACATGTATTGCCGAAAGATTTTTGAGCTTTTATCCCGCCTTCTTTATATGCTGAAGATATCTGGGTTAGCAGGTTTTACAATAACATCTGGGTGACATATAGTATTTAATTTACTTTGCGATAAATAAAAAAAAAACTCTAAATGCCCGAAGAGACCCACCTTGTTGGCTACACCGACAACGACCCTGCTCTGGTTGCAGGCAGAATTGTCAAAGTGGCAGAACTAAAACTCAGAGTAGTGATACTCTGAGTCAACGAGTGGATGCAGGACCACAGCTTGTTGCTGGCGGTAGAAAAGACCGAGACCGTGGTCTTAACCAAGAAGAGAATTACCATCGTCCTTCCTGTCTAAGAGGGCCATGTCCAGCTGGAGACCAGGAGACCAAGCCGTATGCCAAATATCTCGGTGTTATGATTGACAGCAAAATGTCTTTTGGCGAACAGATCAAGCAAACTGTTGACAAAGCCGCTAAGGGAGTCGCTGCCCTTAGTAGGCTTATGCCAAAGGTCGGCGGTCTCGACTCCTGTAAACGCTGCCTACTGATGCCTGCTGTCCAATCAGTGCTTTTGCACAGTGCTGAGGTTTGGGCCCATATGCTGGAGAGGCATGTCTTCCGTGACCGGCTGCTTTCCTGGGTTCAGCGTCAAGGAGCCTTGCGAGTTGCTTCTGCCTATTGCACGGTTTTCAAGTCTGCAATGATGGTGACTGCCCGTTTCATCCCCGTGGCCCGTCTTCTATGTCGTAAGAGAGAGACAGGCAATCTACTGCAGGACATCTGAAGTAGACAGAGAGGCACCTGGAACTGTGTCAAGCAGTTCATCAAGGTCATCCTCCAGGCTAAGAAGGTCGATTTCGATTGGCATTAGCCTTCGGAAGAAAATAAGAAGTAAAGCCCTAGTGACATAGTTAAAAAGGCCTAGCCCACAGTAATGTGCTAAACAGTTCCACGCTAGTGTCCTAGGAGATGAGGGGGTTTTTTGGCTGGTAGTCCGGGGGCATTAAGCCCGCGGGAATCCGGCACAACTGAGAGGTCATTGAGTATCTCAGTGTGCATAAACACATTTTTACCTCCTTCCCCCCCAAAAATAAAAGAAAATGTACTTTGTAGTAATTGTCAAACTATAAGATGGTTGTACTACCATACTTATTTAAAATTATAATTTATTATATTAATTTTTATAAGTAACTTAAACAATTATAAGGAGAGCCTGCTGTACAGAATCATCCATTCATTATCATAATACTTTAACAATGGCCTACTTTTTCATTAAAATTTAATTCCCTATGATAATAATTGATATTTTAACATTATATGGCATTGTATGGTTATCTGAACTGGCCAAGTTTATTGTACTCGGTTGACAAGGTCTCCATCTTGCTATGGACACTAAAAAAATACTTTATGTGTATAATGTGTACCGTAAGTTTTATTTTTGTTATATATTACTTACACTACTCTATTACTGTATTAAATTTATTACAGGAATGGAGATGGAATGTACTGGCAAAAATTGATAATTCAGTAATGGCGTTTTTGAACAAATTAGATACCAAAAATTTGGACATGCACCCTTCCTCTACGTATGTTCCCTATGACATGTATGCAGCTGCAGTGGCGCTCTATCCACAGTCAGTCCTTCTTTCGCAAGAATACTATGGAGCTGTTGAAAAAGAGGGTGAAAAACTGAAAGGAGCTCTTACGATCGACTATTTAAACGTAACAGGAAACACTGCCAATCTTGAAGTGGTTTTGGAAGTGAACACATCTGTTATTAGACAAAGCATGATAAAAACGTTGTCAAACTTTAAATGAAACTAAATGTAATTAGTGGTACCGGTACATTAATGTATTCTATCATAATTCAAGGCACGTCTAGAATTGGGTCCAAACACCTCTGTTACTTTTTATTAATTTTTTTTTCCAGGATCCAACGGGGGGCTTAGTCCTGTAAACCCCCCCCCCCCTTTGGAATCCCCACTGTATCTAGCAAAAATATGTGCTTCTATAATTTTGTTATTCTGGCTTCATTGGTGGGTAAAATTCATTTTGTAAATGATCAAACCCTACCTACCTAAATTTACCTAAATTTACCACCTACCTAAATACCTAAATTTACCTAAATTAAGGAAAAATTTACCTAAATTAAAAAAAAGTTAGGGGAAAAGTACCTAAATTTAGCATTACTGAAATTAAGGATAAGTCACAATTTTTATTTATAGTTTGATTCCCACTTCATTTAGGTGAGTCCCAGTGTAAGTTATTGAAATTCTGAACCCACCAGTTACTTAAAAGTTATTCTGATGGGAGTTTTGAATCAAGCTTTATTATAAGTTAATTTAATACTTAGCTTACTATATATTCTAAAGAATCGTTATGATAATATGTAAGGTTGTTGTTATTCATACCATGTATGATTGTAATTTATATTATAATCTAAGTTTGTAAAATACTATTCCATATTTATGTAATTATTTTAAAATCTATTTGAATGTGTCTATTTTTGAATAGCTTTTATGTTTACATCAGTTTAAATAAAATGTTATAATTTTATGTTTATAAACTTAATGTACTGTTTTAAAAAGGAGTAAAACCCAAGAAGAAAGAAAATATTTTAAAGTATTTATAAAAAACATTTCTTTTGGTTCAAGATCAATATTGTTTGAATGAGTAATCAATATTATGACAAAATAAAATAGTAGGCCTATTATTATTGTTGAGTCACAACTTTGTAGTTAAAATATGGGTAGATTGATTCCCAAGATCAAAATAAATTTCAATGATAAAAATTACTATTTCGGCACTACTGTAGTTCCAAAATAAAAGTAAAATAGTTTTTGACTTGAATCATATTTTTTCAGATATTAACTATATACCAAATAGTCTGCAAGGTTCATAGCCAAAACATACACTACTGGCTTTATCAGATACTCTTTAGAATAATAAAACTAAGCTAAAAGTACAATTAAAATTAATTTATATAACTTCTATCGGAATCTACTGGAATCCAAAAATGCACCTGATTAAAAAGTTATTGTTTTTGTTTTAGAAGACTACATCCAAACAAAAGATACTGAGCTCATTAATGTAATTTTGAAACTACAGTTTAAAAAAATTACTAAATTACTCTCTAGACTTTAAATCATCTTTTCAAACTAGAATGTACAGTCCATTTTAATGCCAAATCTATCATACCTATAGTTGTGCATGATCTTCCTGAAAGTCAGCAGTCCTATAAAATTAAGTTGTTTCATTAAAAATTGTCTTCCTTGTTGTTGCCTGAGTCCTTGAGTAGGTAAGATGTCCCGTCATATAAAACCTGTACACTAAGCAAATTCCCAGTAGTATATGTTTTTATTGTTAGCCTGCATTTCTAATACCAAACAATATTAGAATAAACCACAGACTACATCCCTAATTCACATATAGCACACTCCCTCAGCCACGGCACAGAAAACATACTACTATAACCCAGAATGCCAACCACATGGTAAAAACCATAAAGTGTTTTGAGAGAGCTTTGCCTGTCAATTCTGTGGCCACGGGCCCCATTTTAGTCCAGGGATGATAATGGGATGACTGTGTATGACTCAGACCCACATTTGTTCAGAGCTTTGCTACCTTACACATCCCAACCAGTTCATCTAGAATGTTTCAACACATATACTTGGATAGGCAAAGTAGTATTGATACTTGTATTTGGTTTTTAGTTCAAAACAATCGATTTCTGCGACCTAGGTTTCAGCACGACATTACGCTATCATTAGGCGGTCCAGTTCGAATTGTTGAGTCCATTGGACGCTGTTAAGTTAAAACTACACACAGTTGAAACAGGCAGATAGAACACACACAGACATGAAAGTGCACTTTTTGGATGGTATGACAATTTGGCTCCCTGTATTTTGGGGACAGCTTACAAAATTTAAATGCAGAGCCCCCATCGAGTAACATGTCAATTTAAAGTCCTTTTTAAAAGAAGAATATCAACCCAGTATGTCATTTGAAAATGCTTATAAAGTACATTTACAAGATTTTGTTGGGGCTGTAAAAGTTCAAGCAAATGTAATGTAATATGGATGAATGGTCACTAAAATACTACCAAATGCAGGCACACGGTTGCATGTGTCGCACCATTGGCTCAAAAATAATTGCGCCTCCTTTCCCCTTCCTTGCCGGAGAATTACATAGGTGCTCTTGCACCTATGGGTCCGTGCTCAATGGGCCCATTTACTGAAGCGACCCTGACCAAATGTCCAGTCAAAACTAGATATTATTTTGCAGTATTTCCCAACCATGTGACTAGTGATTAGAAAATAAACTTTTAATTCTTATATTAATAGAACTTAAAGGAAACTCTATGAGATACATTCTTTTAATTTCCAAAACCATTAGTTTTCACAACGCAGTATGAGTGCCAAGAGTCCAAAAATCACTCCAACCCCTCCTCCGATGATGAGGATGACCCATCTACCCCAGTCCGAGAGAGAGTAAAGAGGATGCATCATAGACGCTAACTCAGGAGTTAAGATGGCGTATTGATCCACCCAATACATAGGGAAGTAAGTTGTTGTCACATTATGGAAAAAACTGGAACAAAAATGTGTATATTTGTCTATTTAATTTTATTTTCAGTGATATGAACTAAAACATGATTTCAGGTACTATAGAAACTACTAACTGTTTTCAGAACAGTACGATCTTGAAAATCAGACATTTGCCAGTCTGACAGGAATGATAATCCATCAAGTGAAGATCTTACTTTAGATGTAAATGTAGACTTTAACCCTGTTGCTAGGCGGGGAAATTATTTCTGTACAGTACAGCAGCATAAAACTCTTTTAGATTTTTTAAATGTGTAGAGTTTTTATTACTAATAATAAATCATTTTTGTTTCAATCTAGTCTACATGCAGCATTGTATGTAAGCTAAAACTCTTAAAAATATATATTTTTTTATATCATTAAAGCAATATCATTGTTTCTTAAATCTTCATAAAATCGTGTAAATTTTTTTTTGCTTTTGATTAGGGGTGGTTAACATTATACACTTGGTATGCTGAAAAACTTGTAGGTCACATATTTGTTGGATTATTAATATCTACTTGTACTTGACTTATCAGGCAGAACAAAGTTGTATTTAACATAGAGATTGTATTTAAATTGAACAAATATATTGTAGTGTGAATATCCTCCGGATTGTGAAGAATAACTAGTAATAATGGTTTAAATACCTGATTCAAGCAATCCAATTGTTGTGTTCACAACTAGTTTCGATCTTCTATGAGATCACCATCAGTTGAGTACAAGGATGCTTACTTCATATTATGAAGGTCGTCATGATTAAAAGTTTTTGACACATTCACATGAACGAACACAAACTCATAGTAGAGCGCACACACATATGATGATTTCTAGACTCAACTCTTGCATTAATAACATTGGTCCACTCGTCGTGTTTACAATTTTATTTTATCGGCTGTATGTGTGTATGTGCCGTGTTTGTGTTTGATTATGTGTATGTGTCAAAAACCTTTAATCATGACGACCTTCATATGAAGTATCCTTGTACTCACCTGATGATGATCTCTTAGAAGATCGAAACTAGTTGTGAACACAACAATTGGATTGACTGAATCGGGTATTTAAACCATTACCAAAAAAAAAACAAAAAAAAAAAACTATTACCTTATTAGTGAGCAAATACGTTTTTAATAAGGTTGATGGAGATTCAATGCTTTTTAATATCTCTATGAATGTTCCTCAGGAATTGATGCTTATCAAAATATAGTAAGAGATGCTTACTATTACTAAGCTAAAACTAAAAAAAATAGCACTGTTCAAAACTGAATATTTACGTCATGTTAGGGATTGGCTCCAGTAGTATGTTTGTCTGTAATCGAACCCTGACAACCATTGGAACAGAGGTAAGCTGAAAATAAATAATTCCTGTATAGGTTATTAATGAACAACTTCTTGATCAGCATTGTACGTGTTATTAAATTTACGGAAATTAAATAAAGATACGTCTTATAACACTTAAAACATATATTTACGCTTACTTACAAGACGGTAAATATACAAAAGATTTTAAGTGGTGATCGATTTTGATTGGAGTGTCCAATCGAAATCGATCACCACTTACCATCTTTTGTATATTTACCGTCTTGTGAGTAACAGTTTAAGCGTAAATATATGTTTTAGGTGCTATAAGACGTATCTTTATTTACTTTCCGTAGGTTATTAATGTTATTAGCAAAACAAAGAATTTGAAAGTTAGGTGAAATTTAGCGATAAGTGTGAGAAGAAATAAGAAGAAATAAAGGCGTCCCAAAAAAACCAAAAATAAAAAGGAAAACTTTGAATCTAAATATTAGATTTTTTTAAAGAGGTTTATAGCGTCTTTTACCTTGCATTTGCCTATCCACATGGGCCACATAGGCCTGTGCAGGGGTGAGCTGGTACAGTAAAAGGGTGAACTGTACTGACAAAAAATAGTGGCATAGTGACCAGGATCTAAACCGCTGGCGGCGATCTTTGTAGCGCTCTTTTAATATGGCGGTTTCGCTTTTTATAAGGTTCTATATTCATTGGACAAACTAACAAATTTTTATAAGATTGTCTCATTTTGGACCCCAAACAAAATTAATTCAATTATTGTGCGTAAAAACAATAGATCACCACATACAGTACTGTATATCATTGACTATAGTTTAAAGAGACAACAATAACTTACATTAGCCAGTGACATGAAGAAAGAGTGTTTATTTTCATCAGGATTCAATCCTGTCACTGCTTCTCCATAACTTGGGTCTGCATTCAGGAAATGTGGCAGTGAAATGAACAGAGGTGCTTGTTTACATGCTGATATGTCTCTGACACCTGAAACGTTTAGAGTTTTACTTCAAATGAAACTAGTTAAATTAAAGTACCATGAAGATCTAGATTCAATGACAAAAACTCCTATTCATTCTACTGTTTTCTGAATGTATCATCCTGAATAATCCATCATAAATGTTTGCTTTTCGTTTGATTGAAATAAAAATTAAGCATAGGTATTGTCTTTAGACCATGAAAAATACAGCATTTTCAGAAATACTTTTCTTATTTATTTGTTATATTTTGATTACTCTTACAGTATTCATTCATAAACATCATTTTAATTTGATAGGTGCAGAGAGGAAGGTGGGATTGTAATCTTTAGGTCACGGCACTATCATTTTATTTTAAAATGTTCAGGGATGTTGCAATTATTAAGTGGTGGGAATCGAACCGATACCCCAGGGCGGAAGTACAGTACTCTTTAGACATTAAACCTGGTGTGATTAAATACACTGTTTATGCCATCCAATTTTTTTCTCTGATATCTAGATATAAAACACACCAACTTACCTGGGAGAGGGCAGTTTTTACGTGGACAGTAGCAGGTATCAGAGTTGTCAAACATTGACGAAGTTGCTTGGTATTGCACGCCGGGTAAATCATTTAGCATAACTGGCTCCTGGAAGTCCAATGTGTATGTCCTGAAAAATGTGTCAACATTTACTACTAACTGTATTGTTACAAAGGGATACAAAACTTCCCTTCATGTGAAGTAGCAGGAAATCACATCACGGTTTAGCAAACCTGTAGAGGGGTAAGGAGGTGTGACGATTATTTTTATGATAAGATTCCAAAAACAACAGAGGATACTTGTTTTTTATAAGTATTGTAATTTGTCTCCTTTTGTTTAGTTAGCTATGAGTATTGAATTCATTCACTGACTAAGTTATAATTTTAGATGTATCATAACATTGCAGACATTGTCGATAATTTGTAAAAATTGAAAATAAAATAAGGAGTATTTTATTTCATTTCAATGAATAAGTATCATTAAAAAGAAATAAGGTTACTATTGAATAAATGGAATATCACTGACGGATTCAATTTCAAAGCTTCAATATTCTTTGATTGTAAATTAAAATGCAAGAAAATTGAGCTTTGCTTACTTAATAATTAATTGGGTGATTATTAACATGATTGTATCGATATGCAAAATTGATACTGAATTTAGTATTTGAATTTGTAGCTTGTTATTAGGAAGTAAGGTAATTGAGTAGAGTTTAGTTTGAATATTAAAAATAAATACTCTCTCAATAAGTACTCTCTAGAAGGTTATTTTAAGAATAAATATTATGAGTGATGTATTTTAGAACACTTTTGAGCCAGTTACTCATCAAAATTAGCTGTACTAGAATAACCTCTTTAGTAGAAGTTTATCTATTATATGACACTCTTCTTGTACAAAATGAATAACGATATTTAGAATTTGAATTGAAATAGAGAATGTGTTGCTCAAGAGAGTGAACTTGAGTAGAACGGAAGTGTGTTGCTTTGTCAGCACATTCCATCCTGTGAGAGAGTTGTGAATGCAACAAAAAATGTGCTCATTACTATCTTGTGTTTTCAGAAAACATGTTGTGCGCTTATAATAACTACCTGGCTATTGCATTTTATGCATTGCATTTTATTTTATTGCATTTTATTTTATTGCATACAAATGCCTATTGCATTTTGTTTGGTTTGATTTGCACTTACAAGAATGGAAAAAATAGTTTTTAGTAGAAGATGTATACAACTAGACGCCTAAGAATTGCACAGATTTGGAGCCAAAACTAAATTTCTAATTGCTGAATTCAATTTCAAGGATTACCATAAGCAGGTATGTAAGCCATATTAATCAATGATCAGGTAGACTAGGTACACTAACCTTAGCTATTTCTAGAAGTTTACCATACAACTGTAGGCCTATACCATAGTCTATCACATTTATTTGTGAATCTTTGAAATAGTCTTTAAAATTAGTTTTATACAATTAAAATTAACACAAAATTGCAACACAGAATGTTGACTTACCCACAAATATCAGTATTGAAGAGAGACATATTGTATTGTTTGTATGTTGACAAAGGCAAGACGTTCCCTATTGTAGATTTTACTTTCCCGCACTCATCTGGATAGTAATTCGTCCTGCATCAAAAGAAATATATTTTTTAAATATTATAAATACCAATCCCCTAACCAGGTAAACTATACCACAGACAAGTAAGATAAAGAGGACACATTCAATGGTACACTTAAAGGCTGTGCTCTACCTGTCTGGCGCGCGCAAATGCAAGGGTTTTGGTTCTTACTGTTTGTAGCCCCAATTGTGAACCCAATAAAAAGATCTTGGTGTCATATTTTTCGTTAAATATTTTTGTAGGTCCGGCGCTTTTTAAAATCTAGATATTTTTAAAAATTTTGGGCTAAAAGATTGGTAAAAATGTAAAAAAATGTGTTCCTATCATAAGTTTTAAGGCATACAAATAGTTTTTAGAGAAAAAATAACAAACGGAGGAAGTGCAATAGATTCTAAAAAACAAGAATCTGCAGTTTGTGTTACTAAAAGGTTTAAGGATAACGATGTAATCACCCGGATTCGAAAGCTTGCAAGCGCTCTTCAAGGCACTGTTCAGTGCAATGGTATAGGAACATCGACGTTAAGAGTCCTTGGAGCCTAAACGTTCTAACTTAAAAAACAATTATAAAATCTACAAAGTAAATTTCTAATCCCACAGTATACTAGATATTAAAATTACAATCACTTTAGTATTTGAAAAAATATTTTGAGGTGGTAAATAACTCGTCAGCGGCTGTTTGAAATTATCCAAGATGGCCCCTAGCCTCCAAGGACTCTTAAGTAACATCGTACTGAGAAATCCGAGCTGAGGTAGAGCACACCCTACCTCAGTTACTAAGTTGTGTCTAGCACCAGTCGCTTGTGTCTAGTGCAAATTCTATTGGTCGTCCCCTTCCGCTCTTCTCGTCCCCCTCACCATCAGGTACTACAGCGCTCACACTGTAGGAAGAAGGAAGAGCCTGTGCACTACAACTGCTGTTGTAAACAATAGCCGTTCAGGCCCTTTTTGCTCAATACTAGTATATTTCTGCCCCAATATTCCAGAGCTATTGTGTCACAAGCATGTTTCCTCTGTGTCTTACTTCTCTTTGGCTATACAGGAACATCTTTGGAGTGTGTAAGGAAAATGTGTTTGGACACACTGCTTGGCCAAGTAAACCTAAAATAAACAGTATCAGCAATCTGGCACACACTTTCTCCTGTTTGCTTGTCAACAAACCTTACAAAAAAACAATTTCCATTTAACTGTTTCCAGTTATCAGCAAATTTAAACCTTCCATAGAGGTGTAAGCTGAAAAAGGAAACCAGTCAACACAAACTTTTGCATTACATCTTACATTTTTTTGCAAACTATGGTCACTCAAACTTAAAAGAGATGTCATCATTTCATAATATAAACTTACAAAACAATTTTCATGCATTATGGGTGTTGTTTATAATTCAATTATCAAAATTGTATAAAACACAACACAATAGAGGGGGAGATGTCAGCCTAGAAGTAGAAATACTTGTGACAGCACTCGACTTAAGATGGCTGCCGATATCTGACAAAGATAGACCAAACGGTAGTCAAAGCAATGGTCAAGGTTTGAAATGATTGGTTAGTTACACAACAAAAATAAAAATTGGAGAAGAATAGAAATTTGCTATGGGAAATTTGGCAGACAAAAAAGAAGAGGACTGGGTCACAAGACTCAAAACGAGGACGACACCAAGGCTGGATTGAGTAGGTCCCCTTATGATTCCTCATCATCTTTACCTTGCAGACAATCTTGGGTGGGGGTGGGGGGACTAATGGAATGGAGTGTGAAGGGTAGAACGGAATCAATGTCGGTGCCTTTCTAGCTCGTGCAAAATTGTGATTGCAGGTCCCTGGTTTACGCTAATTATACACCATGGTTTAGCATGGTGGATTTGAGCATGAATTAGTACAATCTTGTTGAGTTTAGTAAAAGGCTTCAAGCATAAACTAGAAGTGTGATAGACTCTGACAGCTGATGGTTTACGGACAAATAAAGGTTTGGTACTCCCCTTTGTTGTTTACTTGAATAGGTGTACCACGAATCTCATACCGTAAAATTTAGAAAGTTTTAGCAGAAATTCTCAGTAATGTTGGAAAGTAATTAAATTATTTGTAGCCTACATTCAAGATTTGTTGTATACTAGCATTATCTTCTACTGATTCATCAGGTAACAGAGCTGTATAACCAAACTTTCTTAAGTAGAAAACCATTTGATTTCAATTACAACTTTAAAACTTAGTTTGAAGCATGGGATACAAAGACCAGTTTTAGCGTTTTTCAGAGTTGAATATGCTTCAATACTGATCAGCAAGGTTAAAGTACCACCTAATTTTTGTGTAGGGGTCGATAGGCCACAAAAAAGAAGAGAAACACAATCGGATGAACATTCATAGAGACGACAAAAAGGTCCACCGTCGAAGATCATCTTCAGGGAGGCTACAAAACTTAACCATCCCATATATCCTACGGGCCGTATAAGACCATGCATACGTGGTAGGGAGGGATAGGAAATAAAGGTTATATGTCAACTGTTTAAAACGTTGCTATGATACACTATAGTGTAGATATATGTGTCGTCTATAAATTCAATAATGTAACTGCAAATAATCATCAGTGATGTATAGATGGTAGTCCAATTTTTTATTTATTTATAACTTTATGTCATTTTATCCTTTCACAGTATAGTTTTTGCTTTTCAAAGGTTTACATTCTTGAAATACCATAAGCTCTAATAGGTCTACGCTGCGGGGAACGATCCCAGACATAACCCTTGCATCTGAGTCCCTTTTGCCAAGGATCAGAGCCTGGAGAGTTCTGGAGGATTACACGGGCAGTGACCACCAGTACATTATTTTTGATGTCCTGGATGGTCATCAGAGACAAGTAGCCGCGTTTCGTCAAGTGCCCGTTCGATGGAATATTAAAAAATTGGACGTGGCAAAATTCAATGAAGCCATCTTACGAGGAACACCGGTGGTTCCCCCCGCAACTAGTGTGGCTCATGCAGAGGTGTTAGTTACATCCATGATGGGACTAATCGTCTCCGCTTGCGATGAGTCTATGCCTCGCGGAAGATCCCGGTGCAATAAGCGACCTGTGTACTGGTGGACTGCCGAGATTGCGGAATTGCGTCGGTCAGCATTGAGAGCCAGAAGACTTGCTACCAGGGCCAGAGAACCTGTAGACAGACGTCGTAAGTCGGATGCTTACAGAGTGGCTAGGAGGTCTCTTCGTCGAGCCATCAACCGGAGTAAACGTAGTTGCTGGGAGACATTAAGGGACGATATCGATTCCAATCCGTGGGGCTTGGGTTACAAACTGGTAACCAAGAAACTTGGCACCCGCTCTCCACCTTCCGTCATGGATGGGGCCACTATGGAGAGGATAGTCGAGTCCCTTTTCCCGGCTCACACGTTGCGCCCACTGCGGGATTTCGGAAGGGTGGATGACGTACCACTTTTCAGTCTTGGAGAGGTGGAGGCGGCCGTCCTATCCCTGAAGAACAATAAGGCTCCTGGACCCGATGGGGTACCCGGCGAAGTTCTCAAAAAGGTTTTGACTATTAACCCCTTGATCCTTTTACGCATGTACAATGCCTGCCTAGTCGAAGGAGTTTTCCCTTCGTGCTGGAAAACAGCTAGGCTTGTGCTTGTTGGGAAGGGGAAGGGAGATCCAGACCTGCCATCCTCTTACAGACCTCTGTGTATGTTGGATACGGCTGGAAAAGTCCTCGAGAAGTTGATACGTTCCCGACTGAATTCAGCCGTAGTCGCTGCGGGGGACCTGTCCCCTCGGCAGTATGGATTTAGGATGGGGCGATCTACGGTTGACGCTGTTGAAGAGGTGAAGCAAGCCGTGATGAGAGCTGAGGATTTTAACCACTACTCTCGAAGGGTTGTGCTGCTCGTCACTCTCGATGTGCGAAACGCATTTAATTCGGCGAGGTGGTGCGATATGCTGGATGCTCTGGAGAACACCTTTCACGTCCCGGCATACCTCATGCGTATCATAGAGGATTATCTCCGGTTCCGCCTCCTCTTGTATGACACTACAGAGGGCCCACGGACGATGAGTGTCACTTCCGGTGCTGCCCAAGGTTCCATACTCGGCCCGGACCTCTGGAATGTCGCGTATGACAGCCTCCTGAGGTCTGAAATGCCTGAGGAAACTGTTTTGGTTGGGTACGCGGACGACGTTGCAGTTTTGATAGCTGCACGTAGCGTTGAGCTGGCTCAGCTAAAGCTGAACCGAGTTATGCGTACTATAAACGCATGGATGACAGACCACGGTCTCTCGCTTGCTTTGAGCAAAACTGAGATCGTGATATTAACAAAAAAACGGATTGACACCATCGTGCCGTTGAGGGTAGGGGCCGTTGAAGTCCAGACCGTTCGTTCTGCCAAGTACCTTGGGATTATGGTGGACAGCAAGCTTAGCTGGCGGGATCAGATTTTCCGTACGGCGGACAAGGCCGCTAGGGTGGTCTCCTCTCTTAGCCGGTTGATGGCCAATGTCGGAGGGCCTCGGTCCAGCCGTAGAAGGCTGTTAATGTCTTCTGTCCAGTCCGTACTCTTGTACGGTGCTGAGGTGTGGGCAGACGCTCTAAATAAGGAGGTATATAGGATGCGGCTTGCCCGAGTGCAGCGTCAGGCAGCACTAAGAGTTGCATCCGCCTACCGAACAGTGTCCGAACCCGCCGTCCTGGTGGTTGCTGGAGTCATCCCCGTCAAACTTTTGGCGGCGGAGAGAAAAGCAATTTATCAGCGCCGTGGGGAGGACCAGGCACGAACAGAGGAACGCACCCGCACCTACCAGCTGTGGCAAGAGAGCTGGGAACAGGAGACTCGGGGACGCTGGACCAGGCGACTGATAAAGCAAGTCCGACCTTGGGTTAATCGGCGGTGCGGAGAGGTGGACTTCTACCTCACCCAATTTCTGACGGGTCACGGCTTTTTCCGGTCGTACCTGTTCAGGATGGGCAAAGCCGTGTCACCCGATTGCATATACTGCCCAGGCATTCCCGATGACGTGGAACATACATTTTTCCACTGCCAGCGTTGGGAAAGGCCCCGCCTGGAGGCTCAACAGTTAGTAGGACTGCTGTCGGTGGACACGGTCATACCGATGATGACGGAGGGTGAGGACAATTGGACCTGTGTGTCACATTACATCCAGGGTATTCTCCGCGCCAAGAAGCTCGACCTTGACCGGGATGCGGTGTAGGTCTTAAAGTATCCAAATGCCATAAACGGTGAGAGCCCTGAGGGCTTAGGTAACATGTTGGCCTGACTTGAAGTAATGTGACAAACAATTCCAGGTCTGTGTCCAACAGAGTAGAGGGGGTTTTTTAGTGAGTAGTCTGCGATAGATTCAGGAGTCTCACACTACAGGCTGGCTACCTGTGTGCGTAAAAGCATTTTTACCTCCTCTCCCTTAAAAAAAAAAAAAAAAAAAAAAATAGGTCTACGCTTGCCATGTTTAGTTGAGGTACATTTACTTAGTAACAGGAGTGTGTAAGGGTTTGTTTTTATATTGTTAAGTAGATTAGTTTGATTTTTAATGACTATAATATAATTACCTCGTCACAGCTCTGAAGTTTCCAGGTAATTGTATTACAGTCATCAATTCAGCTCAGGGGCTAAATCATGTCTTTTGATTTTTAATGACACATTTTGTTAGTCAACGTAACTGAATTCAAGAAGGGTAAAATCATTTCTTATTCTATTGAAACACCTTGCCTATCGATTAAATTCTCGTTAATTTTGACAGCTAACATGTTATTTATGCAAAATACTAATTTATTTTAATCATTTGGTTCTCTGTTCAAAAAAATTGTCACACTCATTTTCATCACATCTACTCAAAACTGCCTGCTGAACAAGGTGGGGACTTTGCACTATAATTCCTTTTCAGCAGAACACAACTTAGAAGCAATGAATCTTCTTGGTTCTATTCTGCAATAATTTTTCTTCCTCCAAAATACCATAAATCCCCACAGATATCCCTGGTGCCCTCCAATTAACAATACCCTGCCACTGTCAACTGACAAGAAATTCCTCTCTCCTCATATCCAGGAGTTTTCCATGTGACTTACAATCCCCACCGATCCTCCATCGTCTTTTTCCGTCAACCGCCTGGTCTAGCCTCTATGTCCATCACATAAGTCCTTTATTAACTGAGCACGTAAAATTCCTTATTTTGAATATTTGGCAAGTTAAAAGTGTTCCCCTCTCACCACAGTCATTTTTATTGAACACGATCCCGGTCCCCAGAAGCAACCCTGAAACTTCATTCTAGACTTGCCTTCACATAAAATTTCACTCAATTCATGTTTTTCTTGGTACCTATTTCATTCCTATTAATTCTGTAATAATTTATGAGTCATCAATCCATATTTCATGCCATATTCCTTTAAATTAATCTGTTTTACACAGGTTGTGTCAGAGGCAACCATTTCCAAGCAGTCTGACCACATCAACAATTTGGATACTTGTAAAATCAACTCAGCTATAGAGGAGGTGGGAAGAACAATCTCTGGCCTCATCAGAACTAAGCTCAATTGCTTAAGAGAAGAAGATGTGCTGTTGATTCAATAGGTGACTTCCTCAGCTGGTGCTGTTCTGTGGTGATAAAGACAGAACTCTACTGATGAAGATGCAATCAACTTTCAATCAGATTGAAAAGTTGGACCACAAGGACCTGGTAAGATCATCCTCGAGCTGGAGGAATCAACCTAGAATATTACCAAAATCCCTCGTACTGTTCACCCTACCCTCAACGCTTTTGATAACTCCTTGTATTGGTGCAAAATTATAATAACATTCAGACCATGCACTTAGCTGTCTTGAGTTATATTTTTCATAATAATACTTCACTACAAAAATACCTTTTTTATGATTCATTCTCTTGAAATTCTCAACTAATTGCATGAACAACCTTATTCCCTCTTCAGTGTTTCCATTTCTGTTCTTCTTAAAGACCTTACCAAACTCAATTACAAACATTCTACAATCAACTATACTTCAGCAATTTCTTTCTTTGACATTCGTAAATACTTTAACTCTCTATTGTTACCGGCTTATCCATTCCCTTTACATGGATGGTGAATATCTGTAGGCAATTTATTACTTCAATAAGAGATGCAAGCAATGGGCGCGTTCTGGGAACATGTACCGGTGCACCGGTGCAGATTAACCGGTGACTTACTCACCGGTGCCGCCCCGGGACAAGAGTCTTGGTATCCCAGAACGGTTAGTCACCGGTTTACGGTACACATCGGATTATAATTTACACATTCACCTACTATTTGCTTTATAATATTTAAATCAAACAAACAGACTTGCCCTCACAGAATAAATTATTTGAAAATCATTATTTATTATTTATTACGTAATATAACCCCCTCATTGAACAAATTTTCACTCATTACGCAACATAACCTATAAAACTAATGAACATTATTCGGTGGACCCGCCTTCTTGCCGTAGCTGCAAGCTGTTGTCAAAGAAACTGACCAATCAGAGGCCGCCAGTGTATTATGCACCGTACAATTTCTTCGGTGCATAAATCTTGCACCGGTGGAGGAAAAAGAGGAAACAGCTGTCTGCTAGGTTAACTCACCGGTCTCCCAGAACGACACATTTTTTGCACCGGTGCGGCACCGGTGCACCGGTACATGTTCCCAGAACGCGCCCAATGTTCAAATAAATACCTGCCTACTCTGTTAGCTTGGCATAACGAACCTGTACCCTCACAAGAACCTTTCTGTATTGTGAAGTTTTCTTCACTATACCGATTTATTAGCGACCATTATTATTTTGGTGATTCTAAGATCAATAATGTTTGTCTCCTACCAGGCCGGTCAGAGCCAGCCGTGTCAGAGTGCTGAGATCCATCAAACAACAAATGGGAAACCAGGCCACAATCAAAATCATGACGGTTGGCTAAGGGAGGCAGAGGCTAGACAATAAAGGGAAGATAAACAAGAGTAGAAGGAATGGACAATCGGTCAAGAGCAGGTTGTGTGAAGAGGAGTGAAAACAATGAATGGGGTGTATTGAGTTGGTCTACGTAAGTCCAGCATGTGAGGACTTATTTACCTTCTTCAGGGACCAAAGAAAAAAAACACCACCAGAAACGATCCCTAACTTATGGAGGATCACCGGAGACCACAAGACCAAATCACTTCACCTGAAGACTGCAATATTTCTAGTATGTTACTATATTATCCTGATATCTAATGAAGTTAAGAAATAGGAATCGATTGATCAATGCTTAAACAAGGGAAATACCTATGTTATAGCTTGAATGTTTAATAATATTCAATAAAAGGTTGTCTTTATCATTCACATCAGTGTATTTTCAATCCCTATCTCGGAATCTTTCATTTCCCCTCAAAGTTGAAGTTCACATAGTTTTACAAAGTTGAATCTACACAATATTCTACCCAGTTACAAATCTCAAACCATAATCCAACTTCTAATTTAACTTATTAATTCACACCATATGAGGCAGCTTCACACTATCCCTGTCAAACTTTTGGCAGCAGAGAGAAAGGCAATTTATCTGCGCCGTGGGGAGGACCTAGCACAAACAGAGGAACGCACCTGCACCTACCAGCTGTGGCAGGAGAGCTGGGAACAGGAGACATGGTGATGCTGGACCAGGCGACTGATACAGCAAGTCCAACCTGGGTTAATCGGCGGTGCGGAGAGGTGAACCCAATTTCTGACGGGTCACAGCTTTTTACGGTCGTACCTGTTTAGGATGGGCAAAGCCGTGTCACCCGATTTTATATACTGCCCAGGCATTCCTGATGACGTGGAACATACTTTTTTCCACTGCCAGCGTTGGGAAAGGCCTGGAGGCTCAACAGTTAGTAGGACTGCATACCGGTGATGACGGAGGGTGAGGACAATTGGACCTGTGTGTCACATTACATCCAGGGTATTCTCCGCGTCAAGAAGCTCGATCTTGACCGAGATGCGTTGTTGGTCATGAAGAATCAAGAATCTAAATGCCAGAAACGGTGAATAAGCCCAGAGGGCTGAGGTAACATGTTGGCCTGACTTGAAGTTATGTGACAAACAATTTACAGGTCTGTGTTCAACAAAGTTTTTTAGTTTTAGTTGGGTTTTTTTAGTGAGTAGTCTCAAATAAAATCAAATAACATTTCTGTTAAATAAAAAATCAATCATCAATCAAATATCAAATATTAATCAAATAACATTGTCTGATAAATTCAGGATCATCACACTACAGGCTGGCTACCTGGGTGTGTAAAATCATTTTTCCTACAGTCACCCGACAAAGTTGGCTTCCCTGTACTGTTTATAGTACAGAAAGCTGCTAATTGCTGCATATTTATACTTTGCCGTACGGTTTATACTTTGCCGCACGGTTTATACTTTGCCGCACGGTTTATACTTTGCCGCACATCAGGATTCCAACCAAACAACACAAAACAGCGTGGTTTTATTATGCACGTAATCCGTGTACGCTTGGAAATAGGTTGGCAACACTTAAAGATAATAATACTATGAACAGCTGATTGACTATTATAACTACGATTTAACCTGTCATTTCGTGTTTATAGTTTTGGTATTTCTGAACTTTCTGGACTTTTCTTTTAAACGTTTTTAAAACATTCCTACGGTCTTAATAAACAAGAAAATACCTTTAAAGCATTTTTTTTAGGCGCGGAAACCACTTCAAATTACAAAAACATACGGAACTATATTCTCAAAAGACGGAGCACATTTCTTGCCGAGGAAAAATAGCGGAGTGATACGGACCACGGGTACTACTTTCTCCAGGGCACCATTTGTGTAATTGTGTTGCTAGCTGAACCTAAAAACGTGTTGTATAGTGTTTGAAAGACTAATTATTTATGTTTTATAGTGACTGTAGGAAAAATATAATGTGTAACACGAGTGAAAAAGGCCTTTGCTGCACTCGAGATCATTCCGCACTCGCCT